TACTAAGAAGACAGATGCAAAACTGGCGGGCGGTAACATTGGAACTCAAGCAAAAGAAGACACTGTCTTCAATGTAGGGTTGCGCAATCGCAACCGGGATCACAGATGTGATACATCCCGAAGCAACTATAGACTACTGTGTGTGTGTGTGTGTGTGACAGAGAGAGGCTCAGGCAGATCGACAGACAGACACATGTACATGTGCTGGATTTTACAAATCACTCGTTTTGTTTGAACAGACTAACCGATTCGATGGGCACGTGAATTGCTGCTGCTTTTTTTCTCCTTCTCTTCTATAGATCACGCTGCGAATCGGGTGTGCACTCGTGTACATAGTTGTATGTGCGTCTGTGTGTGTGTGTTCGTTCGTACACATCCGTTCGCAATAGATCAATCACGTTCACGTTTCCCGCTTACTCGTTTCTCCACTCATCTGTTTTTGCGCATTCGGGCGCGAATAAGGGACCAAATGCGCTCGTTGGAGCAAGCACATCCAACCTGCGCTCGCGTAAAAATACCATCGTGCGCACGCTGCACACACACACACACAGAAACGAATTCGTATATGGGGATAAACAAAATGGGTCCACATACCCAATGTACGTGTTCACGCAAGTTCTATCTATCACTAACCTCGTCGGTGCATGTATGCGAACGGCTTAAACCACAACGCACACACACATTCGAAACGTGGGTTCCGGCTTCATGTGCACTGTTCTCTTGCCCGTAAATAGGGGCTACCATGTCGCTCTGCTTTGCAGTATCTGTGTGCTACTCGCCCATGCGCGGCGATCTTGTCCTCCCACAACCACCACACACACATAGGCATCAAGTCTGCGGAATTGTTCCTCGGTTGGTCAGGCGGGCACCGTTTGATAGGTGCTAGTCGGGACAGAAACGAACAAGCGAAGCTATACAGTTCATCGGGTTTTAGATACCATAGCGTGTGTATGTGCGATCCTGTTTGTGTGTTCACCGAATGCTCACCGGTATCTATATATAAATACACTTATATGTGTATATATGCACTACCGACACACACAGATAGACATGGTCGTGATATAAGGATGTTCGGGAGCGCAATGATGATGATGATGGGCCAAAACAGCGTGCACAAAAAGAAGCCAAGCAACCGGGTGGGTGAACACACGGAGTCGTAAGCAAACTGGCATGCGAAACGAGACCGCTCGTGCGCACGCACTAAAGAGAGAGCGAGAACGAGCGACCAAACGGACGTTAGCACAAAAAAAACTCGCACGAATTGCGTGTGTGAATACTCCATGTACGTGTGTGTGTGCGTGCGTGTGTGTTTAGGTCGGATTGGGTGCGTGATTTAATAATGCTTGACAGTTTGGGGTCACTGGTTGATTTAATGCCTTGTGACTAATCGCACAACGCCTGGATTTGCCGTGACAGGAGAGTGGGAGACCAACACAGAGGGAAAGAGAGACCCTCGGAACCAGCTCGACTACATACATATGCGGGGTTCGTGGATTCTCCGTCCGGTTCGACAATCTTCATACTGGGTGTATGCGCGCGCGCCCGCGCCCGCGTGAGCCATCCACTTGCTGTCCGTCTGACTATACAGTCAGACTGTGACTGCCTGCCTGCTGTTTATCCGCGATCGATTCACAACAAATCGATCAGTTCGACCAGATGGTTGAAATAGGGAAATACGGTATGATAAGAACGGATGGATGTACATTGGCAAAGTGGGAACCAAAATTGTCCGGATATAAGGTTAACATAAGCCTGGCTTACTTTTCAGTCCTAGCAAACGTTCCGTTCGTATTCTTCGATCGAACAATGAAATGATTGATCATATACGAAACAAGCAATTTTCTCTGCCTTTAATCGACACACACGCACGGGCACAAATTTAGGGAATAGACAGAAATTAGTAAGACATTGCTGGTAGTTCCAAACGCTCTTGCAGATGGTTCGCTGCTGGGATCCTCTGTTGAACAGGCATTAACCACCATACCGCCAACCACTGATTTGTGACTGATCCCATTTGGAACAAAACATGAGTAGTTATCCACCAACAGTAGGATAACATTTGTTAAACATGCAACCCTTTCGTTGTTAGACGAAGCTTTTAACTTTTTTGCCAGTCCAATATATGGGCATACATTTTAGGGCTTTAGTAATTTAGTGTTTCAGGGTCCAGTTCATCTGCTTTCACGTCAGATCATAGAAACTTGGTTCATTTTCCTGGTAGCCGAACACCACTGAATCAGCTCACCTCAGATTATATTCGTTTGTCCGGATCGATTTCGGTTCTGTTGTACTCTTTCCTGCCTGTCATGGGATTGAGATCGGTTTGTTAAATTCAGTAAGCTATTAGTTGACCCAGTCGGAGGAGGAGGTCAGTGAACACATTCAGAATGTACTTGGTAAACTCCATTGGTTATCCTTTCTCAGAATGATGCATATGCAATGGGTACGATACGCAGTACCAAGGAATATTTAGCCGTTTTGCTTGGTGAGTCAATCTAAACTGTATACATTATTTTTGGTCTTCCTTCTGTTAATAGAACTCTCCGGAAAATCGTTCCATGACCAAACTTTCACCCAATCGGAAAGTTTCCTGTCCATCTACAATGAAACCTGAGCCTCCTTGCACCAATCTGACTCCTACCTCATCTTCACACAATACATCTGCAGCAGCCACAACACCAACAAGTGCCGTACCGGGCTCAATGACCACTCAATCAAGTTGTATGCGGGAAGATGTGACCACACGAAATGTCCGTTCCACGGCATCTGCCTCCTCGACCTCATCTTCTCGATCCTCCTGTTCATCCGCATCGTCCACTGTGGACGTCGGAGCGAACTCACATGCCATCCCCTCAGGCCCGTCGGACTCGATTCCGGGACCGATGATGCCCGGTGCCGGTGATTCCACTACCTATCCCTCATCTTGTCCCTCGTCCAATCAATCCGTCAATTTGAATCGACCTCCGCACTCCGGCAGCACACCCACATCGATTGATCCTGGACTGGGACAAGATAGTTTAAGATCGAACACAACCCCTTATACAAATAACGGTAACAATACCAAATGTACAGATGTAACAAACGGGACTACCAATTCGTCACATCATTCATCCCTAACTGCCGGAATCAACACATCCACAGGGACAACGGGTGAAGAGGATTATCATACAAACACAGCATACTCCACACCGTCCAACTCGACTCCCTATGGATCGGCAGCCGGACAACGGTTATCAACACATCCGGGCACAATACCCACACATTCCAGTCCAGCTCCACCCAGTGGAGGACGTCATGTTCCGACCGCACCGCCGCTGAGTTCGGCTATGGGAGTGCACTCGTCCTTACGATTCGATGCGGATCTACAGAAAGCACGAACATCAGTATATGAGTAAGCCTTTGTATTTTCTATGTATGGTGTATAGTGTTTTCTCACTATTAGCATTAGTCAAAAGCCCTCCCCCCCCCCAAAAAAAAATAGGTATGTAGCATTCACAGGAAAACTAAGCTTTTTTAGGTCTCATTCCACGCTGTCCACTATCATGTTAAGCTATTCCAAATGCAAATGCACCTTATTGGGATGTCTGACTGATTACAATTTAGTTACAAAACTCACAGTTCAGTTCAGTTCAGTTTGTATAACCATGCATTTTCACGCGCCCGTTTTGGCTGCTGCTCATTTAGATAGAACAACAGATTGAAAATTGGAATGTTGAGAGTAGAGTAAAAGTGTAGATAAAGAGTTCATATAGACTAGGATTGAACGAATAATAAATAGATGCACTAACGCTAGTGTTTGTGACACCCAATCGTATCACTCGGTATCTCCAACCCCCGATTACGATGATCTCGTGTGCCCCATCCACGGAGCCTAAAGGTACTTATGTGCCCCCCTGTCTCCTGGTACAGGGTTTTCTTACCGTCATACCAGGTCTTAGTTTGACCGCCTTTAACCCTTTCTGCTCACTACCTTCATCGCTCGCCGTGGTAACCTATTTGGTTACATGCGCAATACATGTCCCAACCACCGTAGTCTATGGAGGTTCCAAAACCCATGACCTAACTCGTTAGCTTCTTCTGTACAGATAAGTCCGAGTTTGTGTGCGTTACACGTGCTACCCCCCCCCCCCCACACACACACACAAATGATCGCAGCGTACTCTGTTCCGCTGACATTGGCGGATCGTGCTCGATAAATGACTATTATCCAGATTCATATGCAGCTAGTGGGCTGCATACAGATTTTACTCATTTCGCTTCTAACAGAAGCACTACCACGATTACTAACCGTCAGGGACCGTGTTTCGGGAACGGAACAAGATTTATTCGCAAAACCCAATGGATTTAATAAAGCGTAAAGAGAGCTGACAAAGTGTATCACACATTCCACGATAGTTGTGTCAGTTTGGATCGGATTTTAGATTCGAAAACAGGTATACATTTCTTAATTCCAATTTCGTGTCATGGATTAGGAATTCCCTAATTTACAAAGCTAAATCTGTATGTCCACTGCATGTGTGTGTGTGTTTGTGTGTGTGTGTGCGTGTGAGCAAAAACTCCCGATAGTAACATGTTTCATACACAAAAGTAAGCAAAGTCGATGAACATAAATTGCGACATATCACTTAGCTTTTCCATTTCAAATCAAAACAATAAATAGATGTCAGCGGCAAATGACATGATGTGGTTATTTTAAGGGAGGAGAGAAACTTTTGTGATTGATACAAATTCTACACTTACATACAAGACAAATTACTAAGATATGTCATGGGTTTGGGTGCTTGTAAAATAGCTAAAAGTTTTCCCACACCAGTCATCTCCACTGGGTCTGCAACAACAAGCCCAGATGTTTTGTGCTACGGTGTGTGAGCTTCTAGACATCTTTTGCAATGCTTGAAAACAGTAAGTACACGGACCGGATTGGGACCGCGTGCTACATGAACATGAACTGAATTTCGAAGTGAGAAAGCTTGAAATAACATTGAACTGCTCGAAATGACGGTGAGTCAACTTAGAGTGACACCAGGGGAGAGAATTACAAATACAGCTAGCGAAACATTTTTACAGACATTTAAAAAAAAATTCCCCACGCATTGTCCGTGTAGCATCGCGGTTCCTTTTAGCCCAAAACATTAAAATTTTGAACACTTGTCACGAACCCTTCACTCCCCCCCCCCACACACACTTGCATGACTTGACTGGAAATTGACTTTGAGCATTGTGTGTACAACATGATGTTCCCAAGAAATGTGAAATATTTTTTTGGCATAATATCAATGGTCAATCAAATTAGCCGGATTTCACAAAATAAGATGTTCTTTGGCTGTAAATCGTGGTATGTAATGTTTGGTCAAAATGTTGATCGACGACTCCAAAAGTTTTACGTCTAATTTCGTCTAATCCTAAGTGATGGTTTTTTCCAATTGTTCCTTTGTATGGAACCAATAACGTTCATGACTGTGAAATGACTACTACAATAATTAAAATATGTTTGTACGATAAGCATGCTTGCGTGTTATGCTATGCATTGTCTCGCTAAAACAGGAACTCACTTTTATCCCGTGGGAAATGGCTATTTTACAGGCTATTTTAGTGTCCTGATTGAATTTTGAGGCGTCATTTTTTTCGACTAACAAAATTCTTTCTGACATAGCATCAGTTCCCCATAAAATTATTGAACTTGCATCCATTCCTGTGTCCACTGAAAATGACTTTCTCCCACTGATCGTTTCATGCCATCCACTCATTGTCCCAGTGAACTATATGCTGCATCTAAGCGGACTAAGCCCCAAGGTGCCCATCTCATCTTGATAGTTTTCGAATGTGGTGTAGCTCTCTCTACTGTCTGTGTCCGTGGAACGCGCAAATCAGAATCAGGAGAACACTTGGTACACTTGTAATCTGATGGGGAGCTAGTTGCTCCCATCGGCCTTGTTTGACATCTTTTTGGTCTTGCCCCTTGTCTTTTTCAATGTGTCTCGAGATCGATTAGCTAGAAAGTTGTTCACTAAGATATCTGAGCAATTCTTTCTTGTTGCAATACATCTGCCATTCTATTCAGCGTTTGAGTGGGTCAAAGTGTGACCCTCCGCAAGTGCAGTCAAATCACATGATAGCCTTCAGTTTACTGAAACCAACTGTACGATAACCTGTAACCTGTTAGTAACTCATCATTGAATGATATATGTGTGTTTGATACCTCGATAAAATCGATTGAAGAATAATAATAACAACAACGGTTGAATTTGTGAACTCTGATCCAGTTGATATGCTATCACAAAAACGGTAATCAACGAAATCGATAAACTGACATTCAGAGCATTTCACACACACACATTTATCGCGTCATATGCGATAATCACAGCTCTACTCAGTCTAAACGAAATGTCATCATGACAAGTGTTCGAAATTTCCACGTTCCCAATAAAATGATATCAAAGATACATGCAAAAAATGCCTGATGGTGTTGGTTGGAGGGGGGCGTAGGCACTTTATTACCAATTTCCAGTAAAAATAAAACTATTAGTGTATTACTTTATGAAATGGAATGATTTTTCGCTTGATTGGGCTCCTACAAATCTCACTCTAGTTGAATGGTGCTTACTAACTGTAGATTTTATTGAGCTGTATGTTCAAATCACTTATAGTTAATACAAACCAATGCTTATCTAGCTTTCGGTTGTGATTCCGTGATACATAACTAGTCCGATTTGAGTGCTTTGTTCGCGTTTCTCGTTCGCCATATAGCATGTAATTTATATGTGGTCCACTCGAGGATCAAAACAATAGCGTGTAAACGAATATCGATTGTTCAACGACAACACGGGGAAGAAGTGTAGGTAGAGGCAAACGCGGTCTATCGGAACACCTCCTACGACAAACAATGTTAAGTTTGTACAACAATCAAGTTGTGGTTACTGTCTTTTTGGTCACCCATTTGAATGAAGCTGTGAGAGAAATATAGGCAAGTTGAAAGGAGGATTTCAGTGGACTGAGTTTTTGAAGGAAATCAAGAGAGGATGAACGAAAGCCCCTGTTTACCACACTGAGCCATATCATACTCAGTGTCCCGAACCACCACGAGAAGCCCACGACCAAGGAACGTGAAAAAAGGATGCCTTCATCCCGACACTTGTATGCTCCTTCTATCTTCATCTATTTTTTGGTGAGGGCCCTCTCTGTTTTAGCTGAGAATGACAGAAGTTTGATCAATCTCTGGGTAAATGAATTGTGGATTAGTTTTTCGAAAGTATTTAATGCATCTTTTTGTGCGATCAAACCGAATCATGTTAGAAACAGATAATTCACCTGCGAGTTGATGTGTGGGTTGCTGATTCTCTGTTGTGTCCCAGTGGAAACCTGAAAAATATAGTTCCGCTTCGCTGATGACACAGAATCATCAAAAACATCACTGAAAGTGGTTGTTCGTGAGGGTTAGAATAATGTGTACAAATTTAGTGGAAAACAGAATATTCCGAATGATTTGATGAATTAAATGCGCTTCATGTGATTTGTTATCATTTGGCTGAAACCGTCTGACCTTCAGAGGTGCACGAATAGGCACGACGAAGACCAGGAGAACTGTTAGCAGATCAAGAGCATAAACTCTCGGACGTGATGGGAAGAATCATGCGCATGTTGTGTTGAACATTGTTTGACGGAGGTCAAACATTGAAAATTAATGAATGGTATGTGATTAGTAGTCAAGGCACTTATTACTAGGATTTAAGTGTTAATACCGAACTAGACTGTACTAGCAAACAAACTTTCTGCCGTTCTACTAGCTTGGGCCGATTTTCGCTATGGCAGCTCGCAGCCTAGTTGAGGGATTATCTGAACGGTGTTAGTTTAGTTGGCTTCATCATAGTCCAGGAGATAGTAATGGTGAAAACCCTGCATGTGGAGTGATAAGTACTAGTACTACACGATCACTCAGACAAATCTTGTTAAAGATTTTATCTATCTGATCTGTTTCAATAAACTTAGCGAGTCCCCTCATACACAACAGACGCATCCAGTCAGGAATTGAAATCGAACAAGTCCCGTTGTTAACCGATCAAAACTTGTCCGAGCACGTACGGATACGAGAGAATGTTCTATTCAAGCTACCGATCCCACGACCAGCTGCCTGCGGAGGAGCGAGAGAGAAAGAGTGGGATGAGAAATCAATAGGTCACCTGGTTTCTATGATCTCCATGTTTGCAGGACAGAAAGGGCGATATTTTGTCTGTTGTTAGAGTTGCTACATCCCTCGATCACAATGGGTTATTGTTGCCAGGTTCGTGACGAACAAGACTGAGCATGGGATAGAGATAGTTAGTGGATAGATTAGATGTGCTCAACTTGAATTTCTCGGCACGATATACCAACACAATAGTAAACAATCTGGGGGCTC